CTATTTTATCGAACTATTTTATCGAACTATTTTATCGTGCTTTCCTTTTCTTAGGAAACAAACGATACGACGATCAAATATTTCAATGAGAAAACAAAGAGAACGACGGATCAAGAAGACTTATCTAGCTATATTACAAAATCTAAAGAACACTCAATAAAGAAATTGTTCAAATCATATCCAGAAAAAGCAAATGATAATATATTGGAAAGACATTCGAGCAGACGTTCGAATACAAATGAAAAGTATTACGAAGATATCGGTGATAACATTTCGAACGTGAATTGGCTTACGAAAGAATCGAAGGAAAATAAACAAGAAGAGGAGAAGGATATAATTAATTTAAATAAGATAGTCACTCGCGCCAGCATCAATGATTCATCGATATTTAATAAAAAGCAAGATTACAAAAATACTACCGTTGATTCCGAAAAAAGCAACAATTCTAATGTAACAAGTTTGAGAAATGGAAAAAAATTACGTGCTCGTATGAGCGGTGGAGCTGCGGCCGCCATTGCTATGGTTGCTGTTGGTGCTGCGATGCTCGTTGTTGGACCTATGGTTATCGCTTTACGTGCACTCGATAAAAGACGACAAGAAAGGAGATACTTAAAATCATTGGGGTGGAATGATCAACCCCCCACTTATGAACAAGCGACTTTAATGAGCGAAGTTCCGAGATATTCTACCTTAAATTTGAATACTACCGTCCACAGTTCCTGCGTTGCATCCCCGTCTGCATGCTTACCCGTAAACCCCAGTTAAAGATCTCCCTAGGTTATTATATTTATATACTCAACACAATGAATACGCATTACGAAATACGAATTATAATCTTCCTCTTTCTTTTTTTCTTAATCATATATACAAGTACAATGCACATTATATAATTTTATATTTCACAATCAAAGACAAAAAGCACTGAATTTTATCGTAGATGTATTATATTTAGTTTCGTTTCGTTTCGTCTCGTTTTTTATACATACATATATATTATTAATTTAAAAGAGAATTAGATTTCGTATTTATATATAGCGTGTTAATAAAATTTCTTTGAAGTTCGTGCAAACATCAGCCAATTGAAAAAAAAATCAATCTTCGAAATAATCGAAGCAATTGGTATGGTGCCTTAAAACTACATAATTAACTGCCCAAAACTCCGTAATTATAAGGTGTATATAAATATATATAATATTAGTTTTAAAGGAATAGATCTGAATTTTTGTTTAATGGATAATTCATGAAATATATTTCTTTTTTTTTAGTTTTTTTTATCAACTTAATTAAATCAACAAATTAATTGGCTGATTGTAAGATAATTAACAAGTACTAAGAAGCGTTTAAGCGTTTATCTTCATTTGCTTATTATCAATGCAACATAGTTATGTAGTTACGCATACGATGTTTTAACTAGGAAACAATTGAAGTATTTCATTGAAAAAAGGAAAGAAATTGAAACGTAAATAATAATCTCCCGTCCTCTCCCCCATCTGAGATTCCTCAATAGATTATTTAGAATTGTCAATAAATTATTTATACGATTTTTAAAATTGTGAGTAAAGATTCTAGTCGAATCGAATACACGATAATTATTATATTATTATTATCATTATTATTAAATACCGATTTGAAAAATTTTCGAAAGTACTACGTTTTATTTGAGAGAAAAAAAATAATTGTTTGTTTATAAATTTAGTATGCACTTACGTGCTTTTGTTAATATTATTATTGAACGTGTTTTGCAAAAGATTAAGTCATTTATTTAATAAAATATTTGAAAAACATATTAAAACACATTTGACGTCGTTGGTAATAGCTATATAATAACGTCCATCAACACGGTGAGATTGTCGAAGCGCGTTCTCTTTATAAAAATAAAGAATAGTTAATATTTATTATAATTGCATCGAATAATAACTGATATCAAAAGAAAAATAACATATTTTCTATAATAAATTGTATTTCTATTTATTAACAAAGAAAGATGTTTAAAAAGTACGTATTTATTAGAACATAACCTTTTTCTTTTTCTGTCTCATATTTTTTAACGTGTACATATGTCTTTATACTTGTTTGTAATGACAATATTCAAATAGATTCGATGAAAAGGATAGTGTATCGGGTATACAACAATTGAAATCATCGGTTCAAAAGGGAATAAGGTCAAAACTTTTAGAATTATATCCTCATTTAGAAAGTCATGTGGATACTATCATTCCTAAGAAGGATGCTTTCAGAATTGTTAAGTGGTAAGATTTTTCCTAATAATACATTATATTGCGAATTTGTTATATTGACGAATGTAATAAATTAACAAAGGTACAATGTTTCGATCATAGTCATGATCACATAGAAATTATAGTCAATGCAGCTGGCGAACTTTTATTCTTTCGACAACGTGAAGGTCCATGGATGCCTACATTGAAGTTATTACACAAATGTAAGTTATTTACTGATTACCTATTTGAATATTTTATTATTAGAATAGTATTTTGTTCAATTATTATTATCATTATTTTGAATACTTTAAGATCCATTCTTCTTACCGATGGAACAAGTTGATAAAGGAGCAATCAGATTTGTACTTAGCGGTGCAAATATTATGTGTCCGGGTTTAACGTCTAAAGGTGCTAAAATGACACCAGTAGAAAAGGGAACTGTTGTTGTATCCTTATGGAAATTAATATAATTTATTTCTTATCTTATTAGTGATTATTTTATAAAATTGAAAATCATATGAAAATTATTTTTGTAGTTAAGTATCTTTGGTAAAACACAACTTAATAATTTGAATATTATATTTTGTTTTTTAAATCGTGATAATCAAATTGTAGGAATTCATTCTTTTATAATTATTGATTATTCATATATTGATATAAATTTGATAGTTAAATATTAAATAAAAACTTAACAAACAATTAGGCAGTTATGGCAGAAGGAAAACAACATGCTTTAGCTGTGGGAGTAACTACTCTATCAACGGAAGATATGTAAATAATGACTTTTTGCTTTTAAGCATTTTTACTTTATTTTTAAAAATAATTTCTCTATAAACAGTGTTATATTGAATTATAATTTACAGAGCCAAAGTGAATAAAGGAGTAGGAATCGAAAATTATCATTACCTAAATGATGGGCTATGGCAAATGAAGCCTGTGAAGTAAAAGATAAATATTGTAATAAGAATTCTTATGCATCAATAAGATTTATATATATATATATATATATATA